AATTGTTTATTAAATATTATTTTCTCTATTTTTAATGTAAATTCTATAGAGACTAATTTTATTATGTGAATTCAACTGCTTTAATTGGTTTATGAGGGGTTTCTTCTAGCATGAACTAAGATTATTAATTTACTTCACATATTTGATTTTTCTTTTAACATGATTTAAGACATGTAAGTTACTCGTAGTATGCTGTGATGCAAAAAATGTCTTCTGCACTCGCATGATCGCGTGCATGAAGGCTAATAAGGAAGAATGTATACTAGCAAATTGACAAAACATATACCAGCCAACGGGCCTAATCCAGCAATAACAAAGATTGCTCGGAATTGGATAATTGTCAAATGTTGATTAAATGTGGCCCATTTTGGGCACAATGTTATTACTCAAGTTCATCAACATTTAGCTGGGGCATCGAACTAACTAAAATAGTGCTAACACAATATAATAAGACAATAAGCACCATTCATTTTTATAAACCGAAGCCACGATTTATTACACTAGTGTACTGTCAGTGTCACCGACATGGTTGGCAACGCTGAAGTCGAGACATATTTTTATGGATTTTTTAGTTTGAAATTTTTTTATGGTTGGAATAATTTGATGGATGACCAACTTGTGAACAGGCTAAGAGATTTATTAATTATTCCAATTTACTTTTTGTTAAACTAATTCAGAAAGATTGACCCAAAAATAAAAAATAAAAAAATAATCCCGAAAGTTTAAGTACATGGCCGATTCCATTGATATACTTGCCTTCCTCATGGAGGAATGCACATATCTTACCTTTTACTGAGAATGTATTTTTATTTTGGATAAATTTCAGTTTACTATCTTCAAATTTTGTGATTTTCAATATTTGGTACATAGAGTTTTTTTTGTCCCAGAGTCATACCTAAAGTGTTAATTTTATGACAGTCTCATACATCCGTTAGTCTGGCTGTTAAATCTCCTATTAACTGATGATGTGGCGCCCATGTGGACAATAATTGGGCGCCATGTGTCATTAAGGGGTCCACGTGGAAATTTTTAAAAAAATGGAGACAAAATAAATAAATAAATAAAATTTGGTCGTCTTCCCCGACCCTCATTTCCTCCCTTATCCCTCCATTCTCACCTCTGCACCAACCCAACAACCTCTTCTCTTCAAACTCATCATACATCCACCCTTCCTCTTCATCTTTGACTCCACCCACCCACCCACCCACCCACCACCTGAAAGTACGAGGTCGTAATCGACCGGTTCGGTGCCCAAATCGATCCAGATATACTGGCCTTTCCCGGTCCAAATGATGCCCAAACACTTGGTGAATGCATGGGAAGAGCCCCCAGATCAGTAATTGTAAGCATAGGGTTTGGATTGCTACCCAAACACTTGATGATTTGGTCAATTAAGTCGTAAGGGACGGAGATGAGCGGCGATCGAAGGCTAGAGGTGGTTTTGGCGAGCTTAGGGTTTTGGTGAGGACGGAGGCAAGAAGGGGGAGTGAGAAACGTCGAGGTGGAGAGAGTGCTGGACGACGAGGCGATGAGAGAGGGATTCGTAGGGGCGATAACGTGGAAGTGATTGGAGGGTTGGGAGGTGGCGGTGAGGAAGGAGGAGAGGAGGGCGGCAAAGCTGGAGGGGAAGGAAGGGCCGACGAGGCGAACGTGGAGAGAGAAGGGGAAGGAAGAGGAGATGACGGAGTAGGGGTAGTGGCCATGGAGGAAGGGAAGGTCGGGGAAGACGACCAAATTTTATTTTATTTTATTTTTTGTCTCCAAATTTTTTTTTAATTTTTAATTTCCACATGGACCCCTTAATGACACATGGTGCCCAATCAATGTCCACATGGGCACCATGCCATCAGTTAACGAAAGACTTAACACCCGGACTAACGGATGTATCAGGCTATCCCAAAATTAACACTTTCGGTATGACTTTGAAACGAAAAAAACTTCAAGTACCAAATGTTAAAAACCATGAAATTTGAGGGTAGTAAACTGAGATTTACCCTTTTATTTTTTAAACTACATAATTATAAATGTTCACTTCTTAATATTCATTTGAAGATCATCCTTACAAAAAATTATTCGAATAAGAGATTGTTTAAGCATTCAAATGTATCAAATAAGTGGACAGTTCATCATGAATATATCACTTGGTACTCATATCATTGATTTGTTTCACATATTTGGTGACTAGATGATCTCTGATTTGAACGATTTTTTTTATTCGAATGAAGATTAAGAAATTGAAAATTTTTTATTATGAAATATATACGGTTAATATACGTTATTAGAAAGAAGTGGGATATGTGCATTCTCCCAAAGGGGGAACGCAAATATTATCCTTTGAAAAACGTACCATTTATTAATACAAGAAGGATAATACTTGCATTCCCCTTTGGCCATTGAATGATGAGCTCATTCTCTCACTTACAAATAACGTATCTTTGTCATAGAATTTTTATAATGAAAACATTCAATTTCTTAAGCTTCATTTGAAAGATTGTCCCTACAAAAAATCATTCAAAACGGAGATTGTTTAGTTATCCAAATGTATTAAATAAATCAAAGGTTTAAGTACCAAGTAACATATTAATGATGAGCCGTCCATTTATTTTTGAAGTATTTGTTATAAAAATGATCTTCAAATGAATATTAAGAAATTGAATGGTTTTGGATTATGAAATTTCTACGGTAAAAATACATTATTGCAAGTGAGGGAATGAACTCATATCCCAATATAGCCTGTATGGAAATGTTTCTTTAGAGAGCACTTTTGCTTAGAAGTACTTTCAATTGGAGCGCTTCTATTAGAAGCACTGTTAAACTTTTAATTAAAATGTGAGTATTTCTTAAAAAATCACTTGAATTGTTTCTTAAAAAAAAAAGTATATAACCGGTACTTTTTTTAATTTTAAATACATAAGCATTTTTAAATACCTAAACACCTTCAATTGCTTTAGAACAAAGAAGACTCAATCTGTTGAATTACCCAAAAAAAAAAAAAAAAAAAAAAAAAAAACTTAATCTAACTATGTAATGAGCAAACTTTATTAATTTGAAATGAAAAATTCACTCGTGTTGATTTGAGGCAAACTTTATTAAGATCTAACACGACTTTTTATACAACTACATCATTCAAGATTTCGGTTGATGCATAGATTTCATGAGCCAAATGCACCTATCTAAAAGCTGGAATTTTAAATATCTTTTATGACCACCAAGGGCCACATGGTGACTTCATTCTTTTTCCTTTATGAATTCAATACTTGTCTTTACACTAATTGAAGAATATCGTTTGTTCAAAAATAAAAAGTTGAATTTAATACTGTTTCGTTTTTATCTTTTTTATGATGCCTAACTTCAATCTCAAATCTTCTATAATAATTTTCCATTTCTTCAACAATGTGAGTAACTAGTGAGTTTATAGTTTTTTGTTGCACTCCTCTTTTTATTTACATTTTTAAATTTTCATTTGGTCTATTCAATCTTAAGATTTTAATTTCCGTACGAATTTATCGGCTAGTGTATCCTAAAACTAATATTGTTTGTATCATAATAATTGACTATATATCTTTCCATAAAACTAACTTTGCACTCATGGACTTTAAGGCCCTTTTGTTTTTGAAAATTCAAATTTTATTTTGCAATGATGATCCTCGACGGATTCTAATTCTAAAGAGCGACTTTAACTTATACAAGTTAAGAGATTGGACTTTGCGGATTACTGATGATGGGAGTTGATTGGTCCATATCTAAAGGTTTTCCATAATATACCTAGCTAGTTATGCCTTTTTTCTTCTTCTTTTTTTTTTTTTTTAATTTTATTAAAACAAACCATATTAGGATGGAGAAATAGGCTAAACTTCACAATAAACTATCAATAATGTTGTTCAAATTTTTATTTGGTGAGATTCAAATCTAAGACCTCTTAGCTACAAGTGAAGATGAATACTACTAGATCGTAATACTGAGTGACAACTAATTATGCCTTTGTCTTTGCAGAGAGATATATATATATATATATATGTATGTATATGTATATGTGCTTCACATCCTTCGTAAACCTAATTCTATTGGTTGGCACATCTTTGTCATACGATATAGTATAAACATTAAAATAATTGTACTATTTTTTTCTTTTGATAATAAAATTATATCAGTATTCTTTCAAATTAATATTCGAGAAACACGTTAAGGAAAATTTTTTTATGGATTCTTAACTACTTCATTTTTTTACATAATATTTTATAATATTAGTACAAAAATTAACGATAAATTATAAACAGATAGATTTAAGAGAGCTTCCATAACATTTCCTTACTGCTACTCCACCAAACGTACGGTGAAAAATGCCTCAAAGGTTGTACCATCTCCATCCAAATGGAAGAAAACGCGACCGGTCTCCAATAATTTAAACCATATTTTCTTTCCAACATAAATTGATAATTAATTTCTTTGATTAATGTCATAATAAATTGGATACAAGGGAGCCCACTCAGTGACTCGCACGACGCACACACCACTGAGATACTTACAAAAGGAAGCCATCCAAACGGCGCCGTATCCCCCAACGACTGACAATCCAAACGACGCCGTCTCCATCTCCCAAGCTTGCTCCCCACTTCCCGTTAAATTTAAGATTTGTCAGGTTTCGTAAAACGACCGAACGAACACTTGCCACGTGACAGCCCCTGGCGGCCTCCCCTAAAAATTTGTAGACGTTGGCGTTACGGCAAATATTTATGGGGGAAAAGCCTCCCAACCGTGACGTGTTTCCATTTATTCTTCGCAAATTCGCGGCTCTTCCCTCTCTCTCTCTCTCTCCCCGAAACTTCCACTTTCTCTCTCTAAATCCTCTCTCTCTCTGAAACTTCCACTTTCTCTCTCTAAATCCTCTCTCTCTCTCTCTCTCTCTCTCTCTCTCTCTCTCTGCCTGTTACTTTCTACACAGCTAGGGTTTTCGTTTCCTTTACTCCCAAATCATGAGGCAGAGAACTTCGCTGGTAAGTTTCTCACTCATCAAATTTCCCCAGTGTTTTATTTAAATCCTCGTGGTTTCACGCTCTGTTCGGTGATTTCGTCGGTTTAGATTGCTCTGAGCGGTTGATTTGTAATGCCGATTTAGTATTCGATTCAATTTTCTGTTTGGTTGCCGAGAAAGTTTAGGGAAAATGATGGAAAATGGATATGTGAATCTGGGGGTTTGGCTGTTAGGTGTGGTAAGTTTAAGGTTGACTAAGTCTAAATGTGGTGTTGCGATGTTAGTGGGGTTCCAAATGGTGAGGAATATGGGATTCTACGCCTTAGTTTCTTGTCCGGTTGTGCATTTTCTCAGAGACCAAACAGAGGATTGAGGATTTGTTGAATTTTGACTCCGGTGATTTCGGGGTTTTGGATTTTTTGGCAAGTTTTTGTTTCTTCAATTTCTTCCCATTTACGTTTTGAGGTATATAATGTAAGCATTCTTTTAACTAATTGATAGTAATTTGAAGGTAAAATATTGATTTTGTTTTTGTTTTTGTTTTCTGGATACAGCAAAGGTGAAGGAATATGTCACAGCTGTGATGATTTATTGAAGGAATTGGATAATTTAATGGGTGTTGGGTTGGATGAGTCTGTTTTATCACCTTTGTGTTGGCAATGATGACAGAGACAATGGCTACGAGCTTAGCTAATCTTGCTGAATTTGATGATCTGTTTTTTTAAAGAATCATCTGATTGTAATTCCTGTAAAGAATGCGCCTTTTTATGCGTTTTATACAGATGGGCTGAAGAACGAATTTTTAGTTTGGATTTTCGAGAATGGCTATTGCTGGTCCACACAATGTTTCTGTGCTTGAACCTTCTTTCCTTAGAGACTCTCAGTCTCATTCATCTAGGCGAATACGTGATGAAGGGAGCATGAGTACCCGTGCATCCTCCCTGCTACAAAGGTGGCGAGAGCTTGAGGATGAGGATGTCGTGAGTCGTTCCCAAGAGAGAGATAGTGAGAGGTTGATTCTACAAAGGAGTGATAGGTTGATAGATGAGATCTCGAGAGTAGACACTACTGAAGACCACGGTAGTGACCGCCCAGGTGATTTGGAGGATGTGAGTGTGGGTGAGAGTGAGTGCCGATTATGGACCCAAGGTCAAATTGGGTCGTCAAATGAACATGAGGAGTGCAGTAATTTTAGCAGTGAGCATTCTGATTTTGGGGAGGTTGAAAGGGGGAGGGTGAGGCAAGTTTTCAGGGAATGGATGACTTGTGGTGGGGCTGAATATATGTCAAATGGTTCTCATTTGAATAACAGTTCAAGGGCAGACTGGCTCGGTGAAACTGAACAGGAGAGGGTGAGAATTGTAAGGGAGTGGGTGCGACTTAACAGCCAGCAGAGAGGTGCTTCTGGTGACAATAGAGGAGAACAACCTGCTGAAATTGGTAATCAAATTGAAAGAGTTCGTGATGGATTGATTGTTAACCAAACTGAAGGCCGGTCTGGGCATACACGAAGGAGGATTCGTAAATTATGTGGTAGACAGGCTATGCTGGATATGGTAAAGAAGGCTGAGAGGGAAAGACAAAGGGAACTTCAAGTCTTGTTGGAGCACAAGACTGTATCACAGTTTGCTCACCGCAACCGCATTCAGGTTCATGGCTATAATGCTTTCCATATCTTCACTTACTTATCATATGGGTGCTCTGCTCTTTAAAAATGGGTTTTTTTTGAGTTAATTATACTTGAACTTACATTGTAATTTTTGTGAAAGTTTGTAAGTATGATATTTTATTTTCATCGGATAATGTGAATATCCACACAGGTGATTCTTGAGACGAAAACCAATATTGTTACTTGTTAGTGTTATATTATATAAGTGTAATAATACATATTTCGATTGATTTTAAACTTCAAGGCATGGAAAATCTTTTTGGGTACTGGTATGCCAATATTGTTTCTCTTTTCTCCTGCAGTCATTGCTTAGAGGAAGATTCTTACGAAATGCTAGAGTGATTGAGAATGAGAGACCTACTTCCATGGCTGAAAATGAATTAGGCTTATTGAGACAAAGGCACACAGTCTCTGGTCTAAGGTATTTTTGCGCTGCTTTAATTTGAAAAATATTTATCTTTCATTTTCTTTGCAAAGTTATGCTCGAATTTGTTTTCTTAAGTTTTGCTTAACTTTTCATTCTACCTTTTTGTTTGGGTTACCGTGGGATTTCTTTGTAAATTTTGTACGATTAAATAGTTGGAATTGCGTCGTCTCAGAGTGATGATTTGACCCATCCTTATAATTCTCTTTCTTTTTGGTATCATTTGTATTTTCTTTTTGTTTGTATTATCTTCCAAGGTTTGTTCATGGATGGCTATTTGATGTATCTCCCAACCTCTATTGAATCGGGAAATTGCTTTTGGTATAATATGTTTAGTTTATGGGGGGTTGAAGGGTGTTCCACAATAGAAAGATGATTGTGGCCTAAATTACGTTAGGCAGATTGTGATGTTTTTAAATTTTGATTATTTGGAAGACGCCAAAACATAGCTATTAGCTTGTGCTCGCAACTTATTTTAATGGTCAAACAAACAGGTGAATGTGTTCTGGACGCACTATGAAGTGGGAGGCTGTCATGCTGTACCAGTTTTCTTCAGTTTCTCTTCTTCCCCACTGGTTTTGTGGATGAAAAGTTTTAAACAACAAACAATTTACCTTTACACAGTGAAATTGAACTCTTATTCTTTTTCTTAACCCCTTATCACCATTTCGGTATGATGTGGCACTGTAATTGCTGCTCATGGTGCTGTTCTGACTGGTAGTAAATTAGGAATTGATTATGTTTTTGGACTTTGTCCAATGTAATTTTTTGTTTTTAACGCTAGTCATGTATGTAGTATAGTATGTGATGTAAATATAGTTTCACCCTTAGAGCATCTCTTAAATCTTTATTATAGACTGTGGTTCCATTAATGTGTTTTTTCGTTTTTATCGTCGAAGTTGTCTGTGAATCTTTATTTCATAGATTAATACTGAATTAAGTTTTTATTTCAACTCTTTATATTGAAAAAAAGAATGTTTTTATTTATTTCTCATCGATATTTTGAAATCTATTCTTTGAGTAGGGACGGTTTTTGCTCCAGATTGGATAGTTCTGTTTCCGGTCCAGTAAGCAGCAGCCACTCTGAGACATCTTCTAGTGTTTCTATTGGTAGTAGAAATGGGGATACTCAAGTAGACAACACACATGAGGTCCTAGCTGGGTCTTCTGAACAATCTGCCACTAATGATGAGGCAAGTGAGGACCGAGAACATCGCTGTGGTATATCAGATCGCACGGATATAGGTGGCAACGCCATTCAAGACATAGATTCAGAAGAACCTGATGCTCCTGTAGAGCGCTGGCAAGAAGAAGTTCCAGATAATGTTGTAAGAGACTGCCAATGCTCAACTATCACTGAATTTATTCAAAGGAGGGATGGTACTGGTCATAACATGATTGGGGACTTACATACAACCACTGCCATTGAGCAGCCCCCAGAAACTTTGCAAGATGATGCTGGTGGACACAGTAACATGCGAGAAGTCAGTGATATGTCTAATGAGCAGTCTGAGCCGAGTGGGGAGGCAAGTGTAATAGGTGAACGATCTGATTATACATATAATTTACGAGGAACTGTGCTTGGGGATGTAAATTTTCAAGAATTTACTTCTCAGGTACAACAATGGCAGGATCAAGTTTCAGAAAATGCCGAAAGGGACTTGGAACAACCTGTTGTTGAGTATAATGACTTGAGAGAAGACGTTGGGGAAGATATAGCTGGGGAACAGCAGGAAACAACTGCTTATGAATGGCCCCAGGAGTTGTTGGAGAGCGAAGATAGAGAAAACAGTCATATTGAAGAAGTTCCTGAAGTTTGGCACGAGGAAGGTGGTTTTCAGGAGGCTGTTCAAAGTTGGTTAGAAGAGCCATCGGACCAGGATGTTGATCCGGTCAGGCAGATTGATACATTTTATTTTCCGGATGATGATAATGCTCCTGGTACTGAGCTAAGGGAACTCCTAAGCAGGTATGAAATGTTATTAATTTATGAATATGCCGTAGGCTTCTGATGGATCTGTTTTTCTTATAGAAATCTTATTAATGTTGCAGGAGAAGGGTCTCTAATCTTCTTAGTAGTGGCTTCCGTCAGAATCTAGATCGACTTTTACAATCATATGTGGAAAGGCAAAGTCATGCTGCCATTGACTGGGAGCTGGATGATACATCACCTTCTCCTGAATCTGCAGAACAGGATCTAGAGCAGACTGGTGCATATCGAAATGGGGGTCAAGTGCATGCTGTTGAGAGTCATAGTCCTAGTACTGCTATACGATCACAGCAAATACCTTCCTCTTCACTTTGGGACCAGGAGTCACACCCGGATAATTGGCCACAGCATGAAATGCATCAACGTTATGGAATTGTGAGTTTGCACAATGCTTCTCATATCTTAATTTATGGTCCGGTATTGAAACACTAATATTTTTTTATGCCTACCTTTGGATTATTTAATTGACACATTGCTTACGGATACAGGACTGGGATATAATTAACGATATGAGGATTGACATGGCCAGGCTACAACAGAGGATGAATAACTTGCAACGAATGATGGAGGCCTGCATGGATATGCAACTTGAGTTGCAGCGCTCAATAAGACAGGAAGTTTCTGATGCCCTGAATAGATCAGCTGGTTCACAAGGTTTGTCTACAATACATTGACCACTCTCAGTTAGCTTTGTGAAGTTCTGAACTCCTGATAATATTTCTAGATGGCATTCTTATATGAGGGAAAGATGTATGTATAACACGTTTCTCCCGCATTGTACCATGTAATTTCCCTCTTGGATACATTGTGTGCTTTCTTTGAATTGACTTTGTGAGGTGCCTTCTTTTGCAGGGGCGTGTCAAGACGGTCTGCTAGAAGATGGGTCTAAATGGGATCATGTAAGGAAAGGAATTTGCTGTATATGTTGTGAAAGCAGCATTGATTCTTTATTGTACAGGTAAAACTCCAAAACATGTACCATCGTGATTCAATTTTTCGGCATGTAGAGATTCTAACACCGTTGTTCGATTTCTGTTGATTTCTTCTTACAGATGTGGGCACATGTGCACATGTTCACAATGTGCTACCAAATTGATTGAGAGTAGCGGAAAATGTCCGATGTGTAGAGCACCCGCAATTGAGGCGATTCGTGCTTTTTCCGTGTTGTAATTTCAGAAATAAAGTTAAATTAACAAACGATATATATATATAGCAATCATACGTTTTTGCAGCCACCATCCAATCTCTTTTTTCTCTCCGTTCTTTGGTCCTTGGTGGCATGGCGTCTTATGTGGAAATTATGATTGACTTCGCACTGTCTTTGATTCAATTTTAATTTAATAAAATAGAATGCAAAGCACTTATACCATAAAGTCAGTACATGTACTTGTGAATTCGTTCACTTTGAGTTTTAGCATATTTAACTTGCGGCTCACAATAATTGAAATTTAGACTTTTCACTTACCAGTAAAAAATATCAATAGACGTTAGTACTATATAGTGTGCTTTAATTTAGAAGTATAAGAGAAATTCTTCAGTGTAACGCCTTCCAAAAGAAATACGAGCTTTTGGTGGCAACATGCTATGGAGTGATGATTCTGCTTATGGGGTCAAATCAATACTTTCTAAGAAGAAATATTTAAATATCAATCTTATCAGTTTCATAAGTATCATACCAAATCTCATCAATCGAATCGCTTTTTCGACAAAATACGAAAATCTAAGTCATACAAGTAAAAAGATCTATTCATTGATAAGAAAAAAGAAAAAACATGAACGACGATTGGATTGATGATAAAATAGAATCCTTGGTCTCGAATAGTGATTCAATTGATGATAAAGAAAGATAATTCTTGGTTCAGTTCTTCACCTTAACGACAGAAAAAATGATTGATCAATTCTATTGAGTCTGACTCATATTGATCATTTATCAAAGAATGATTCTTCGGTGTAACGCCTAATGTCATAATATAAGTGATTGTAATTTTTTTTTTTATGTATTCAACCGCTTGTAGTTCTTGTTTGTAGACGTTTTTAAAATAGTTGAAAGAGTTTTTAGAGAAAAACACTTCATTGTATATTTAGGATATACTTGCATTTTTACTAATGATTGATTATATAAATAATTTTACCAAAATTGTTTTCAGTAATTTTAAAAACACTTCTAAATAAGCTCGTAAGGTTCCCCCGGCATACTAAAAATTTCATCATGAAATGACAGAACTGAATAACTCACTCGAAAGTCCAAGACCTGAACGGAGAGAATGAGGAAGGAATAGAGAAAAAATTAGACACATCGACTATAGTTCGACATGAAATGACAGAACTGAATAACAATACAAAACGTGTTAGGCCCCCAACGATTACAAACCCAACACCAAATCCGAAATACACCTCGACAGACCGTGATTAAAATATTTAGAATCACACAAATATGGGTAATGCGAAAGAGATCAATTTGTAAAAAATGATGTAATTGTTGATAATTGAATTATGACTTAAATACGGATTAATGTGTTTATTTTCAATTAATGACGCATTATTTGGTTTGCAAAGTTGGTTTAAAATTTTAATTTCTCACAAATATTATTGATGAATTAATACTAATATTGTTCTTGTAAGTCAAATATTACTACAACTGTCCTTGCAAGATTAGCATCTATTGAAACAGAAAAACACTTGATCCACTTGATCGTAATTTTCGTGGCTTTCGTTTTGCGACTTGCTTGAGTAACTTTTGAGTTATTTTTGCAATTTATGCTCATAAATTTTTGTTTTGTTATCGGATGAGATTAAAATCATGTTTTCTTATATTTTTCAAGTCCGTTACCCCTAAGTTCCGAAGATTACAATTAACGAAAACAGTTTTACAGACATAAAAAGCGACGCATTCATAACCAAAACAGATGGATTAGTTTTCAAACACCATCATCCATTCATGGTTAATCATCTAGCCCCCACGAACCACACCTAATTAACCACTTGGCAGAACAAAAACTAACTAAAACAAACGAGTTCAATAAAATGAAATTTTAACTAATTAATCAAGACTTGGACGACCCTCCTCCATAGCACCCATACGTGCTCACAAGTCACAACCTTAGCCCCCTCTGCCATGGCATCCTCCTAAGCTCACCAGGAAAAACCAGCCTCATTGCGCCCTGAATTTTCCTCGACGACAACGTCTTTCGTGCCGTATACTTAGTCAGCCTCGCCGCCTCATCAGCCAACCTCTCAAACATGTCGTTCATCAAGTTATTCAAAACTGTCATGGTCTTGGACGACACTCCCACCCCAGGATGCACCTGCTTCAAAACTCGATAAACATAATCTTGTACTCTTCTCTTCCCCTACTACTCTTTCGCCTCTTCATCTTCTTCTCGCTCCTCTTCCCTCCCTTCACCTCACTTTTCTCCTCTCTTTTCTTCGAGACTTGCTCTTCGATTTTCGCTGCCTCTTCACTCTTCTGCTCTTCTTCATTCGATGATTTATCTCTTCATGCGGATCAGGAGTTTTTGTGGGGTTTTCTTCTGCCTCTTTGTCGGCTTGGACATCAGCACTTTGGGTTTTTAGGGTTTGGTTTTCTGCTTGGGTTTCGATGGGATAACACTAGTCTTGCGCGGCTCTTTCCCCAATGAGACTTCTACGTTTTGGGTTTGATTTGTTTCTTTCATTTCAATGGAAATGGTCTCGAGTGGCTGATCTTTTTCTTGTTTCTTCCTTCTGGCTTTAGTCACTGAGACTTCAACTGTTTCTCTCTCACGATTTGCTTGGTGGTCTTCACCACCATCTTTGCCGAGCGCTTTGGAGCCATTTTTTACAACACTGCCCCTATGATCAACCTCTTCCCCTTTCAGAAAACTTATTTGAAAAGGGCGACATTGGAACGTAGTTAAATATCTGTACGGAGATAATAAATATAACGCTTAAGTAATAAATTAATTATCAATTTTCAAATTATTTAATTTGTAATATTTAATCTATAAATTTAATTTTTCTAGCATTACTTAATAATAATAACTGTGTTAGTGTTTTGACTGGACGTAGGTATCTGGCGGACAGGTGTTGAGTGGTTTCTGAACCTAATGGGCCATGGCTGCGAAATGGTAAAAACAAGAGGATTCGGATAAAATTTCAGTTTGCCAGTTTATATTCACTTTTGGAGTATTTTTACTTGACACCTGGCGGACAGGTGTTGAGTGACTTTGAAACACACGAATTTGTCGTATGAGGATCCTTGCAGAATCCTCTTTGAGAGGATCTCAAGGATCCTCAAATCATACATGTTCGTTGTACATTATGCGGTAAAAATTATTGTAATTTTTTTATTTAAAATTGAATATAAACAGTATCAAATTAAAACTAACCGCATGATGTACGATGAATGAATGTGATTGGAAGATCTTCGAAATCTTATTCCGGAAAAGATCCTCTCTCGAATTTGTCTGCGCGAATGGTTTAATGTGGGACTAGGCAATGCATCAGCATCAACTAGCTTTTTTTAACCTTTTTGTTCTTGCAAACTAAGAAGCCTCTTCGACACGAAGAAAAACACTAAAGTAGCCTCATTTCCCACGTCGTATAGATGACAAGTGTTGGATCAGAATTAGATTTTATTGTCTGAGTCCATTGATGTGTCCAGCTCAGCTGGTATTGTTCGTGTGCACGTTAAAGAGTCGAGTGCTGAGTTTGTTATTTGAGCTAACAGTAGTGCAAAGCTCAATTCCTCTCCCTAGAGACTGGAGTGGCCACCGTTGTACTTCTTCCTTCTACTTGTTTGTTTCTTCTTCATTATTGCTTCGTCATTCCATATCAGAGCAGTTAATCATCCTCATAGTGCTTCTGGTATTATATATAGTATAGTTCACTTCGTAATATATGTCAATTACGGATTTATATACCATCTAGCGCCGTCTAGACAGGATCACCGCTCGATTAATCATAGGCGTTTAAAAATTAAGAAAGAGCACCTAGCTTGCCTGAGCACTTAATCTACGTCGCGACTCTCATTTGAACAGAAAATAGAAAAATTTCGTTTTGTATTTTATTTTTTCAATATATTGTAATAGACTTGTTAAATATTTAGATGAATACTCATTATATGTTTGTTCCTGTATTTTCATTATGTTCTAGTATTTTATTATCCACATATTTCTATTTTGCAATTTAGTTCAATACAATTATGTATTTATTTTAAGTAAAGTAGACATTTATTTATATATTATATAATAAATTTAATTAAAATAAAAAAAAACTGCCTAGACGTCCATCTAGACTCTTAGGCGCTAGGCTTCTGCCTGCCGCCCAACTAGTGCCTAATGCCTTTTAGAACCTTAATTTCAACGAACTGTTTATTTTAGTACATCATTCATAGATCATTCTTGCAAATAGTTAGACAAATTCAAAACCATTAAGACATTCATTTAGAAAATAAGTGAATACAAGTCTACAAAGAAATACTAAATTTAATCTATGATAGTATGAATTCTAATTGATGTGATTTTTTTAAACACTATCTTTGAGGTAAAACGTAAAATATAAACATTTAGATTGTTCAGATATATTACAAAATAGAGCTCTTAAAAATATGTGTCACAATGCTTGTCACAACGTCTTCTCGTATCGTAACTGGCTATATATATAATGACCATAAGTGTAAGTGTCTCTTTTTTGGTCGTTAATGACTCTTCAACTCTCAGAAACTAAAGTCACTTAGTATTATAATTTAGTGATATTTCTCTTCATTTGAAAGTGAGAGATTTTAGGTTTGATTCTCACCAAAGGCGAATTTAAACCACATTATTGCTAACTTATTGCGAGGCTAAGTCCATTTTCTCTCCTTTAGTGTAGATAATATCACTTGTTAATAAAAACTCTCAAAAAACAAAGACAAATTAGAAGAAGCCTTTATCTTTTTGGAGCCACTCCCCTTGCGAAAGACACGCACAAATGGGATCCAATGCCAGTCCAACCCTTTGCTTACACGTTACTTTATAATCCAAATTTCTCTTGGACAGTACTATCAATGTTTCCGACACAGTATTACTTGGCCCAAACAGAAGCATTTTCTCAGCCGAAACAAGGCCGGTAATGCTCTTTAGGAGATGTATAGGTTAATTTGGTACTGCTCTTAGGTCGTGGAACAGATAATTTCTTCCTATAGCCAAATAATGGTCGCCTGACTCGCCTCGAAGCAGTATCAAATTATCACAATAATAGCCTCTGTGCGGGAGAGG